ATTTGTACCTTTAAAACAGTACTACTGTTATTCAGAATAGATTATGGTTAACGATTTTTCAATTATAATTATTATTATTCATTACGTTATGTAAGTAGGTTAGGCAGTAATTTCATTTTTCCAGATATATAATATGGTACTTAGTAGATGTAAAAAACCATTATAGATCAAGTGATTCTTTGCGAAAATTTGAGTAATATTTTTCTGTTTGTTTTTCAATCCAACGTAAAATTATTTATAAATTAACAATCAAAAACTTTATTAATAAATCTACCGCACTTTCTTCAACAGAATACGCTGGAATTCACCAAATATTTTAATTTTCAATTATTAAAAAATAGAAACATGTTTGTGGATTCGATCATATAAGTTAAAAAAATTCACATGGTTTAAAATTTCGTAAAAATTTAGTACTCTTGTTTCTCCCATAACATTTTTACAACACCGTGAAAAATAATAAAATGTATTGGTGAAATAAAGTTTTATCAGACGTTTCATTGCAAATTCGCCATTTATAACTGTCAGAAAATAGTCTCACTAGGATAAGGTATACGTTGTTATATGCGCACAAAACATCAATAAAAGTTAATAAGAACATTATACAAAGTAAATACTTATATATTTACATGTTATACTTATGTTTACTTTTGATTACTTTCAAATGGTGCAAGTTTTCAAAATGTCATAAAATTCAAAACGCCAAGCAAATCAGCCTCAATTTTTTTTATACAATAAAATAAACAACAAAACTGACCATTCATGAGCTGTCACTGAAATATAATCATTGCAACTAATTCTTCTAAAAAACAGAAGAACTATTTGACTGGTCCAAAAATATAGTATGCACCAAATTACACAAATATCTCAATAAGTCAACTCAGCTCAAAAATGAGCATTTCAAATGAGAAAAATTACTTTTTAAACAACTACATCCATTCAATATAAATTATACCACACTAAAAATAAAAACACCTACAAAATTTTTCTTGTTTAATATTTTCTTTGCTTTTTAATAAATCTGAAAAATTTATCCTCACAGGTACATTTGCAATATTAATGTGATAACTAATAAAACAAATTTGTGTTTAACATTTCTACACTAGGTATATTCAGCTTCTGTATTAATTGAGAAAACAATATCTAGTCCACAAAAAAAACTGAAGAAAAGTTTAACAATTACAAATTTTTACGAGTAGGGACCAAAAAGTTTACTGACACTAACAACCACAAAAAATATATACACATTAGAAAGCTAATAAATAACTTTATAAAGCGCAGAGGGTAATCAAACCACTAAAAACTTAAACAAAATCTGAAAAATGCACTTGAACAAATTTCTCTATTTTATAAAAATGAGCGTTAAAGAAATTCGAGATACTTATACAAAACATTATATAATACATTTTAAGTAGTGTTCTTGGTTTATCTTACTCGGCAAAGGATTAAAAAAAAATAATTGCCAATGGCAATGAAAAAAAAAAATTAGTAATATAAAAATCAAAAGGTTTCGGGATAATACTGGATTACTATTCAGTGCTGGTTTAAAATTTTTCTTGCAATTATTTTTCAATAATAGTGTATTCCATATTATAAAAAACGAAGTAGTTTCTTATCTCAATATCATATACAAATATTCCTATATATTTTTATAATATGCAATATGATATATTCAACGCATCAATAAAAATAATCAAATGACTATTAAATTAAACAAAAATGCATACAATATTGATAAAACAGGCCATGCTAGTTGAACCAGCACAACGGTCACTGTATTACACTTTATAAACGCTTTAAATACTGAGAACTAGACTTAAAGGCAAGGAATGGAAGTGAAAATGGCAACTGTAAGAGAATAAATGATAAATACTTATTAGAGAAGTAAACAGCAAGCGTCAAAAAACTCAAACCACAGCAGTTCCACTCCACATTCGAGTGGAAAGTGGTCGGGGTAATCGTTTCCCTATTGTCTGCACATGAAAACCTATATTTATGAGCTCCTCATGGTCTAATATTTTTCTTCCATCAAAAATATAAGCCGGTTTCATCATGCTTCTGTATATCTCCCTATAATCCAATGTCTAAGAAAAACAATTTAATATTAGCAACTTTGCATCCTTCCGATTCTGATATATTTTAGTTTCAAAAAGTATTAAGCAATATTGTCAAGTTAAAAATAGATGAAATCACTATAAACATTTATTCATGTTTCAGAATAGTGGGGGCCCTTACCACAAATTCATCCCATTCTGTACAAATGACTACAGCGTGAGCACCATTAGTTGCAGAATAAGCATCTGGGTAAATTTTAACTAATTTTTTTACTTCTTCCGGGGATTCACAGATTGATGGATGAGTAAGGTCGTATAAGATTTGGGACTCCTCTACCTACAGACAAAAACAAACTCTAACTGAAAAATTTGTGCGTATACTTAAAGCAATTGGGAAATAGTTTTTGCATGGGTCGCAGGTACAAGTACCACACATGAAATTAAAGGACTTGGCATTCCACGTTCATTAAAAATAAGTGCGGGAAGACCAGTTGCACGACTCACACGTGTGTAACTATTACCAAAGTAAACACCATAAGAAATTTTTCGTGAATGTTTGCGCCAAAACGTTAACCAGTTCTTAGAATGAATATCGTGTGTATATGGTTGTAGACAGTATAAAATGAAAGTTGCTTTATGTCCGTAATGAAGAAAACTTAAAAACATGACTACAAGTAGAAGGTTGTTCTGAATCAAATTATTAAGCGAGACTTATTAAACGAACAGCTACCCTTTTCAGCATTAAAAAGCAAGTTTAACTGTAACCAACATATGTAAATATAATACCGGGACTAGTAATCAACTATAATCAATATAAGTATCTTAACTTTTTAACGTAAATGATTGCAACAACAATTGAGTATTTGGACAAAAACTGGCTTATTGTATTAATAAAAACGATTGATTCAAATGGTATTCCACTGAAATTAACACTTAAAATAAAAGTATAAGTGAGTAGTTTTAACGTATCCTCAGAATTTTCTTCGATAAATAACATGTTAACTATGTACTTCAAAAAGGAAATCATATCAAACCTAAAAATTATTATATGTATA